TATCTGCATCCTCGCCAGCATCTATGTTTCCTGACTTGTTAATTTTAGCCATTCTGACTGGCATGAGGTGGTATCTCATTGTGGTTTTGATTTGTATTTCCTTGATGCTGAGTGATGTGGAGCACTTTTTCATGTGTCTATTAGCCATTTGGAGGTCTTCTTTGCAGAAGTGTTTCATGTCTTCTGCCCATTTCTTGGTTTATTTTGTTGTTTGGGTGTTGAGTTTGATAAGTTCGTATAGACTTTGGATACTAGCCCTTTATCTGGTACGTCATTTGCAAATATCTTCTCCCATTCTGTTAGCTGTCTTTTGGTTTTGTGGACTGTTTCCTTTGCTGTGCAAAAGCTTTTGATCTTGAGGAAATCCCAATGGTTCATTTTTGCCCTTGCTTCCCTTGCCGTTGGCTATGTTTTGAGGAAGAAGTTGCTGAGGCTGAGGTCGAAGAGGTTGCTACCTGTGTTCTCCTCAAGGATTTTGATGGATTCCTGTCTCACATTGAGGTCTTTCATCCATTTTGAGTCTATTTTTGTATGTGGTGTAAGGAAATGGTCCAGTTTCATTCTTCTGCATGTGGCTGTCCAATTTTCCCAGCACAATTTGTTGAAGAGACTGTCTTTTTTCCATTGGACATTCTTTCCTGCTTTGTTGAAGATTAGTTGACCATAGAGTTGAGGGTCTATTTCTGGGCACTCTATTCTGTTCCATTGATCTAGGTGTCTGTTTTTGTGCCAGTACCATATGGTCTTGATGGTTACAGTTTTGTAATAGAGCTTGAAGTCTTGAATTGTGATGCCACCAACTTGGGTTTCTTTTTCAACATTCCTCTGGCTATTTGCGGTCTTTTCTGGTTCCATATAAATTTTAGGATTATTTCTTCCATTTCTTTGAAAAAAATTGATGGTATTTTGATAAGAATTGCATTAAATATATAGATTGCTTTAGGTAGCATAGATAGTTTCACAGTATTTGTTCTTCCAATCTGTGAGCATGGAACGTTTTTCTATTTCTTTGTGTCTTCCTCAGTTTCTTTACTAAGTACTTTATCGTTTTCTGGGTAAAGATTCTTTGCGTCTTCGGTTAGGTTTATTCCTAGGGATCTTATGGTTTGGGAAGTAATTGTAAATGGGATCAACTCCTTAATTTCTCTTTCTTCTGTCTTGCTGTTGGTGTATAGATATGCAACTGGTTTCTGTGCATTGATTTTGTATCCTGACACTCTACTGAATTCCTGTATTGAGTTCTAGCAGTTTTGGATTGGAGTCTTTTGGGTTTTCCACATAAAGTATCATATCATCTGCAAAGAGTGAGAATTCAGCGACTTCTTTGCCCATTCAGATGCCTTTTATGTCTTTTTGTTGTTTGATTGCTGAGGCTAGGACTTCTAGTACTATGTTGAATAGCAGTGGTGATAATGGACATCCGTGTTCCTGACCTTAGGGAAAAAGCTCTCATTTTTTCCCCATTGAGAATGATATTTGCTGTGGGTTTTTCATAGACGGCTTTGATGATATTGAGGTATGGACCCTCTATCTCTACATTTTGATGAGTTTTGATCAAGAAAGGATGCTGTATTTTGTCAAATACTTTTTCAGCATCTATTGAGAGTATCATATGGTTCTTGTTCTTTTTTTAAATCAATGTATTGTATCACATTGATTGATTTGAGGATGTTGAACCAAACTTGCATCCCAGGAATAAATCCCTCTTGTCATGGAGAATAATCCTTTAAATGGACTGTTGGATCCTATTGGCTAGTATTTTGGTGAGAATTTTTGCATCTGTGTTCATCAAGGACATTGGTTTGTAATCCTGCTTTTTGGTGGGGTTTGTCTGGTTTTGGAATCAACATGATGCTGGCCTCATAAAATGAGTTTGGAAGTTTTCCTATCCATTTCTATTTTTTGGAACAGTTTCAGGAGAGTAAGTATTCTTCTTTAAATGTTTTGTAGAATTCCCTTGGGAAGCCGTGTGGTCCTGTGTTCTTTTTGGGAGATTTTTGATGACTCTTTCAATCTCCTTACTAGTTATGGTCTGTTCAGGTTTTCTATTTCTTTCTGTTCAGTTTTGGTAGTTTATAGGTCTCTAGGAATGCATCCATTTCTTCCAGATTGTTAAATTTGCTGGCATACAGTTGCTCATAATATGTTCTTAAAATTGTTTGTATTTCTTTGGTGTTGGTTGTGATCTCTCTTTTTTTTTTTTTTAAGTATTTTATTTATTTATTTGACAGAGAGAGAGAGATCACAAGTAGGCAGAGAGGCGGGCAGAGAGAGAGGGGAAAGCAGGCTCCCCGCTGAGCAGAGAGCCCGATGTGGGGCTCTATCCCAGGACCCTGAGACCATGACCCGAGCTGAAAGCAGAGGCCTAACCCACTGAGCCACCCAGGCGCCCCTGGTTGTGATCTCTTATCTTTCATTCATGATTTTTAAAATTTGGGTCCTTTCTCTTTAGAAGAAACTTAATAAATTTGAGAATTTTTCCCCTTCTCCTGGGATTGTATCTAAATTTGTGGGTTCCTATGTAATACCATGTGGTAGAGAAGGACATTTGTTTTTCACTCATCTTCTATTGAGGTTTTCATTGTTTCAGTTAGTATTCAGTCACTGGTGCACTTAGGTTGTCGCTGGGTTTTCCCTCATTTCTGTTCTTGGGGGCCCATTCAGGTCTGCTGATTCTCAGTTCTTTATCACACTATGCTCAGCCACACAGAGTATTGGGACAAGGGAAATTGAAATGATCTAAGGCCCAATCTGTCTAGATATATTTTACAGTCATTTCTTGTCAGGTTTTGTCATCTTCCTAGAGCCCTACTGAAGACAAAAAAACAAAAACAAATGAACAACAACAACAGCAAAAACAGAAGTCTCATTCTTCCCTTGGTTTGCCCAAACTATCTGGGATTTTCATGGTCCTCAACCCTGAGGCTTAGTCTGATGAGTGTAGAGGGCTCTAGAACCTCTTTTTAAGTGTCTGCCAGAACCTGATAAGCTCTCTTAGCGCACCCTTTTATTTTTTTATTTTTAAAAAAGATTTATTTATTTATTAGAGAGAGAGAGTGTGTGCATGAGTGGTAGGAGCAGAGGGAGAGAGAATCTCAAGCAGACTCTAAGTTTGGAGGCCGACTCGGGCTTGATTCCAGTACCCTGAGATTGTGACCTGAGCTGAAACCAAAAGTTGGATGCTTAACCAACTGCAGCACTACCCAGGCACCTTAGCTTCCCCTTTTAAAGGCCTCTTCCCACAAATGAGTAAATATTTCCTTGGTGTAGACATTAAGAACATTTGTTCTGACTCATATATTTAAAAAATCTACAGTTTATGTTCTGAATCCTTCCCCTAACCCCCAACATTGTTCTTTTGAAACCCAAAGATTTTTTTTTCTTTGTTTTTGGTAAATCATCTCTTTAAGGCAGCAAATGCTGAAAGATCTAGTTGCCTGGACTGGGGCAAAATAAGTGGGGAGGGGGAAGTCTGGAGGTGAGGAGGAGAGGGAGGGAAGGAAGTAGGGAGAAGGTAGTGAGGTAGGGGGTGGGGAGATAGGTAAATAGATCAATGGATAGATAAATATCAAGAAGAAAAATGAAAAATGTAAGGTTATATTTTTATAGTACTGCACATCACTACATTGAAACACTTAGCTATCGGAGGCCCTTTGTGCTACCCGTAGGACCTTGCTTCTGACAACTGTAAAGTATGTCTATACCCATTTATTTTCTTTTCTGTAGTTTTACTTACCCAATTTCCAGGACTTCCCTATTAGAAAAATGGCTGGAGGGTATTTTAAAAGTACTGATGCTATTAGCAATGGGAAGATGGGAGATGTTGGCAATAGAATGCAGTTCTTTGGCACAAATAGTTTCTGAGGAATAGAGATGTGTTGCAAAGTGTGTTAGGTAATGAATGAAACAAAATAGATGGAGAAGTATGAACTATCTTTTTGTTCAAATGCTGATATGTTCTGCCTTTATTTTCTTAAATTTCTAGCCCTTTAATATTCAGATAAAAAATGATTCAGTTCCTATTTCATATGCTATAATTTCAGAGCACTCTCCATTATTTTTGAGAGGTTTAGATACCTATATTCTTCTGAAGTTAGCTCATGTACCCTCTTTTTTGTTATTTGGCTTCTCATTTACAGTTGAATCTATCATAACTGCTCTGTTCTTCTTTATGGCTTGTTATTGAGAATGTGGGACTAGTACCCTCTTTAAATTTAATGTGCTTTGGGGCGCCTGGGTGGCTCAGTCAGTTGAACATCCAGCTCTTGATTTCAGCTCAGATCTTGATCTCTTAGGCTCTGCATTAGGTGCAGTATTAATTCTAGTATAGAATAGAGGGAATTTATTGTATAGATTATAGCTAGAGGGAATCATTGCTCAGGTTAAAAACCAGAAAAATAAAAATGTTGTAAAGGATTTATAGAGGATTTCTCTTTGGGCCACACCTATTCTTAACCTTGTTCTTTGGGTCTTGAAGTTTATCTTCCTTTCTGCTTCCTCAGAGGAAGAGCAAGAGATCAGAAGAATAGGCTTTGCTTTTCATGTGTATCCTATGAATCGTAAATATACAAAGGAAAATACACTTGGGCAAATAATTGTTAAATCCCCACTCAATGTAAAGGTTAAAACTGTAAATATATTTTACAAAGTTTGAATAAATTCATAGATAGTAGTTCTATAAAAAATTAGAGCTTTTGAGATTGGAGTACAATCATGTCTCACTGTGTCTTACTGTGAAACTACTATGAAGCAGCTTATTTTAAAAATTTATTGTTGAAGTATAGTTGACATATAGTGGTATATTAGTTTCAGATGTATAGCACAGTAATTCAACAATTCTATACATTTGATGCTACTTTAAGAGACTGAGGATATACTAATACACTTCATTAACAGAATTTTAAATATTTTAATATTTTCTTGAGGCATTTTGAGTATTATCTTGATGGTATTATAATTACTTTAAAATTTGATTCTGAAATATTTTATATTAATAATAGATGAAAATGAACGAGAAGAAACGAGGCAAGTATATGTGGATCTAAATAATAATATTGAGGTAAGTGTTAGTAAAAAGTTAAATATTTTAAACAGAGGCATTTCTTTTTTTTTTTAATTTGAATGCAATTAGCCAACATATAGTACATCATTAGTTTCACATGTAGTGTTTAACAATCCATTGGTTGTGTATAATAGAGGCATTTCTAAGCAGAGTAGAGTGATAACTCTTCTTGATAAAGGGATTATTATTTATTTGTTGACATAGGATTATATCCAGTAAGATTCTTAAGGTTCTATACTAGGAGTGTTAATGTTTTGTTATTTAGTAGCTTTTGAATTTACATGTTAGTGACACCAATTTATCAAGTATTAACTCTGTGTCAGAGACTAGCATATTATGACACATACACATTAATTTGAAACATACAAAATACCTGGTTCCTGCTTACCTCTCTTATTCCATCATCTTTGTTTTCTACTTTGCTTCTCTGCTATAGTTATTCTTTTTTATTTTTCTGAAACTTTCTAGCCTCTTTCTGATCTTGGTTCTTTGATTTTGTTCTGTCTAGCACTTTTGCGTCAAGGTTTAATGCAAATTCTTTTTTTTTTTAAATCTCCTTTACTACTTTATCTAAAATACCTTTCCATTCAATTATTTTCTGTCTCTTCACCTCATTTAGTTTTTCTGAAGAGCACTTGAAAATACATGACATTTATTTGATATACATGTGTATGTATACCTGGAATGTTAGTTAGTTCCAGTAGGGTAAGGACTTTTTCTTAATCTCAAGTGTCTAAAACAGTGGTTGGCGCATAATAGATAAGCAGTAACTATTTATTGAACAAATAAATGAATTCATACAATTTTGCAAATAAAGATTTGTTGAATACTGAATGAACTCATGCTGCCAGATGATGAAAGTGTAATTTGGACTCTAATGGGGAGGGACCTCAGAGAGGTTACACTTTAGTGGAGGAAGACAGAAATTAAATAAGTAAGCAAAAAATAAAATTACAGATTCTGTTAAGAGCCATTAAGTAAATAACTAGAATACCAACAATCATTTTGCTGTTGTTTGGTATTATATAATTTAAGCTTCTGGGAAGCAAATATAATAGGCAGTCAGTGGGTTTTTAGTAAATATTTAATTATTACAAATTATAGGGATTTCATTATTCAAAGTTGAATAGTTTTAAATTTAATGATCCTGTGACAAATTTATTAATATTTTCATAGTTGGAAGAACCTATTTAAAAAATATAAGTATGATTCTTAAAAGTTGAACTTTATGTTTCAGAAAATGATAATAGCTTTTGAGGAACTTCGTGTACAAGCTGAGAATTCCAGATTGGAAATGCATTTTAAATGTACGGATCTTATTTAATTTTCATATTACTCTACTGATGTTTATATTTTATTAGATTCTTTTTAAAAATTTATATTATCTTTTATTTTTTTAATTAACATATAATGTATTATTTGTTTCAGGGGTACAGGTCTGTGATTCATCAGTCTTACACATTTCACAGCACTCACCATACCAAATACCCTCTCCAATGTCCATCACCCAGCCATCCCATTCCTCCAATCCCCCTCCCCTCCAGCAACCCTCAGTTTGTTTCCTGAGATTAAGAGTTTCTTATGGTTTGTCTCCCTCTCTAATTTCATCTTGTTTCGTTTTTCCCTCCCTTCCCCTGTGGTCCTTTGTCTTATTTCTCAAAGTCCTCATATCAGTGAGATCATAATGATAATTGACTTTATCTGATTGACTTATTTCACTTAGCATAATACCCTCTAGTTCCATCCATGTCATCACAAATGACAAGATTGTTTTTTGATGACTGCATAGTATTCCATTTTGTGTGTGTGTGTGTGTGTGTGTGTGTGTGTGTGTGTGTATTTATGTACGCCACATCTTTATCCATTCATCTGTTGATGGAGACTTATTAGATTCTTTTAATGTTTTCACAGCTTCAGTTTGATGCCCCAACTGTTTCAAATTTTGTATTTGTGGTTTTGTAAGCCCCTCAAAATCTTGTGTAATGTGGAAGGTAATTGATATATATTGAAAATACCCTTTTGGCTTCAAAGCTACATTTTCCCTGAAATTAAACTTATTATGATTTGTACTTTATTTTTTAGAAGTGTGATTTGGTCTTATTTTTACATTTTTTGATAAAGTTTCATGTCAAAATAAGTTGACACTTGAATGACCTGGGTTTGAACAGTGCAGGTCCACTTATATTTGGATTTTTTTCAATAAATAACAGTACTATAAATGTATTTTCTTTATGATTTTCTTAATACTTTCTTTTTTCTGGGGCTCCTGCGTGACTCAGTGGGTTAAAGCCGCTGCCTTCGGCTAAGGTCATGATCCCAGGATCCTGGGATCAAGCCCCATATCAGGCTCTCTGCTCAGCAGGGAGCCTGCTTCCCTTCCTCTCTCTCTGACTGCCTCTCTGCCTACTTGTGATCTCTGTCTGTCAAATAAATAAGTAAAAATCTTAATAAAAACTTTCTTTTTTCTAACTTTATTGTAAGAGTATAGCTTATAATATGTATGATGTTCAAAATGTGTGTTAAGCAACTTTATGTTACAGGTAAGACTTCTGGTTAGCAGTAGGCTATTAGTTTAGTTTTTGGGGAGTCAAAAGTTGCACGTGAATTTTCAGCTATGGTAGGGGTCAGCACCCCTAATGTTTAAGGGTCAACTATATATATACATTTAAAATGCGTTATTTCAGATTAGCGTGTTATAAGGAATAAACTCTTACATATGTACTATTGTAAAAAGTACAGAATTTTATTCTACTTTGATGTTTTAAAAATTCACTACTTTACTCAAAAGAAAGTTAGTAGCAAGAAAATAGCAGTTAAATTTGTTAGAAACCTTTGAGGCTTAGTATCTAGATAAATAAGGAGGTGAGCTAAAATACCAGAAGCTTTAAATTTTGTTTTTATATAATTATATTAAATTATTAAAGTATAGTTGCTTTATTTTTAAAGTAAAAGAAGATTATGAAAAAATACAGCACCTTGAAGAGGAATACAAGAAGGAAGTAAATGACAAGGAAAAGCAGGTATTTTTTAAAAATCAGTTTTGTATTTTTTAATGTTTATTAACTCATAAAATACAAAAGAAATCTACTTGCTGACTGCATGATAAATTTCTATAAGAGAATTTTAGTATTTTACATATCAAACATACAGCCTTTTGCCTAGCAGAATTAATTTCCACTGATTCAAACAGGCATGCACTTAATACCAGAATTTAAAAAAAAATCAATGAATTTTCTACAGTATTTAAATAGGTCATTGTTGCAAAAATAAATAACTTTTGTTCAGATAAAAACCTTATAAAATGTAAAGATGATCATTGACAACTTAATCCACATTTTGCAGTCTATTTTGAAATGCACTTACTATTCATGACACCATTGATGGGGAACTAAAATGTTCTTTCCCTTCTATTTGTCATATAGTGGAAAATTTGAAAATAATGAGTCTGTGTTGTTTGTTATTCACAAGAATACCAGGTTATTACTGTGACAAATTTATCAGTTTGAAGTCCTGTGCTTTCCAATGGAAAACGATTCATCGAAAGGAATCCTCTTCTATTTCCCCCCTATTTTTTCAGAGTTTTTCTTCTTTGATTTGGCACAGGATACTTTGTAATGATAGATAACAAGATTGTCTACTTAAAAAGTTAATTGAAAGTACAGAGAAGATAGGGTTTTCTTTAAGTTCTGGTTAAATTTATATGTTACGTTTCGATCTTTTAAATGAGTTAACAGTTTTCTATATTTTAGCTGAAATTTTAAACTAGTTTCTGAAAGAAGGTGTTTTTAAAAGTTAAAATTGTGTGTATTATAAAGAACACAAAAGTAGAGGGAAGTGCTAAAAAACTTGTTGGGTTCTGGGTACATGGGCAGATGAAAATAGGGCAGTGAGGTCTTTCTGCCATCTTGAATCTGGAAGTCTTCAGCTTGTCTTTTTGTCTTTTTTCTTCACATGGATTCTATATTCTTCTTCTTATTATTTTTTTAAAGATTTTATTTATTTATTTGACAGAGGGAGACACAGAGAGGGAACACAAGCAGGGGGAGTGGGAGAGGGAGAAGGCTTCGTGCTGAACAGGGAGCCCGATAACGGGGCTCTGTCCTAGTACCCTGGTATCATGCCCTGAGCTGAAGGAAGGTTCTTAACAACTGAGCCACCCAGGTGCCCTTGGACTCTATATTCTAATCATCTGAATATTTTCACTTCTCTAAATGCGGCATGATCTCTTGATCCTTTGTGTTCTTACACAAGTTAAAATGTTCATTTTTCTGGGTTTGCCTGATTAATTTCTACTTGACTATCAAGACTCAATGCAGTACTCTGAGAAGGATTAATTTTTATTACATCCCCTAAGACCGAGGTAATTGTTTTCCTGATTCATAAATTTTTGTCCTATAACTAATAATATTCAAGTATAGTTGTTTGTCTCCTGGTCTAGGTTCTGAGGGGTTTTTGTTGTTGTTGTTTTATTTAAGCTTATGAACGTGACTTTTTTTTTTTAAAGATTTATTTATTTGACAGAGAGAGATCACAAGTAGACAGAGAGGGAGGCAGAGAGAGAGGGAGAGAGAGAGAGAGAGAGAGAGGGAAGCAGGCTCCCTGCTGAGCAGAGAGCCCGATGCGGGACTTGATCCCATGACCCTGAGATCATGACCTGAGCAGAAGGCAGCGGCTTAACCCACTGAGCCACCCAGGCGCCCCAAGCTTATGAACATGACTTTTAAACATAAAATTAAAGCTATTCATCATAATTTGCTATACTACAACATTAAATTAGTTACTTCAGAGCATAAGTTAAATGGTTTAAAGTAAGCCTGTAATATAACTTAAAAAACACTTTCCTGTCTCATACATGCAAATTAACTTCTCCACATAAATGTCTCTCCACTCTAAGTTACCCTTCTCCTAAAGTCACTTCTCTGAAGCTTATCATAGTCCAAAGAGAAGGAAAAAAGTGTAATCAGGACTGATATATGTATTTAAAAAAAAAAGATGGCACAGAAGAAGAGAATGCAGTTCTACAAGTGCAGACCATCTTCAAGTAAACAGTTGAGACAATAGAATAAATGCAGAGGCATCATGATGAATCCCACTTAACTACAGACCAACACTTCTCTACAAATTACGTTCTTTGATTGTCAATTAAATACAAATTTTAACTTCATAGCTCAACAATTAAGGGTCATATACTGAAGTCAATACACACACCTAACATTTCAGTTTGAGCTGTTTCATATATATAGAGCTGAAATCTGTTACAAGGTATGGCCTAACAAATGTTAGTGAGAATTTTTAAAAAAACAGTTTTTACAAGTATTAAACTTTTCTTGCACATTGAAGTCCTCATATACAGGGCAAAGTCAGAACTTTTATATTTGAATTTATTCTTCATTTAACTTTTAAAACACTACTATGGTTGAATATTAAAACAAAAGCAAAAGCAAAAGCAAGCAGTGAGCTATGATTATACTCCATCACTCATTCACTACAGCATGTAAATTGCCAGCAGTGTTATTCACTGGCCCCATTAAGAGGTCTGATACTGAACACCACCCCTATGATGATGTTCACCATCCTCATATACATCCCCATTGTAATGGCACTGTCTCTCCTGATTTGGATCTAAGTCCAGCAACTACCTGGTCCATTTCATCAGTCTCTTCTTCTTCCTACTTCTCAAGTAGGAGTTTTTCCAGCAAAGAGAGAAAGGCATTCTCAGGAAAGTTTACCTTAAATTTGATGATTAGGTAACTCTTCTCATATGGTCTATGATAAATTGGCATGCCTTTATTTAGCACACACTTGATAGCTCCATACCTGACAATCTGACCTGGATGAGAGGTGATGATGATGGTTTAGTTGTCAAAAATAGATACTGGCTTTGGAAAGCCGCCGGGTGCTTCAATCAGCTATATGTCCGTGCACATGAAAAGGTCTTCTTGCTGAGTAAAAGCAATGTGGTCCTTCTGACCTAAACCAATAATAATATCTCCTTGTTGCAGTCCTGGTTCTTGGTGTCCTTCACCATGGAATGTTATCTTGCCATCTTTCAAATCTTTGTCAGTATGAACTTCTAGAATCTTTCTCAAACTATCTTCCTTCCATTGCAGCTTTCACATCTGTCTTTAGGACTGATCTGTTACCCATGGCCCTTGCACTCCTTGCATACAGATTGAATTTGCTGAGCCATTCCAGGTCCTATGTGATAAATTGTTATTATTATTTGCTTTCCAGTACCTCCACAATTAGGACAACATTCTACTCTTTTCTTACCACCTCAGCCTTCACATTTGTTACAAATCACATTCTTTTGCAGAGCTAGTTTTCTTGATGCACCATTATGTAAATCTTCTAATTACTGAGAGTGGATGTACAACATTTTTACCTCTTCTTTCTCTCTGCAGTCTTCCTCCTCCTACAAAAATCATATCAAAGATGTCCATGGGGGAGCCAAAACCACCACCAGCTCCACCTTCTTTAACTGTATGCTCTCCTCCTTTGTCATATACTTGCCTTTTCTTTGCATCAGAGAGTTCTTCATAAGCTTGAGAAATCTGTTTAAACTTTCCCCCCTCCTTTGGATTCTTCTCAGGATGGTACTTCAAGACCAGTTTCCTGTAAGCCTTTTCTAGTTCTTGGTTGGCATTGGGTTTGACCCCCAAAGCATCATAGTAAGTTGTTTCTTTCACCATTTTCTAAAGCCAGTGAGCATGTTGAGGTCAGTGTGGAGGAGCGGGAAGGAGTGCATTGGTGGGCAGAACTCAGGCAGCCGCTGCTTCTCTGCTTCCCACCTAATGTTCTGGAACATTCCCTAGGCTCTGTGTTTCTTTAAGTTCCCTCATCTCTGTATATTCAGTACTTTGGTTTGTGGAACAGAGGAGGTGCTCCATAATATTTATGGAATAAATGAAACAATACATTTTATTATATATCTTCTAAGTTCTAACTTAAAATGAACCTTATAATATTGGGTAGATCATATTAGTTTAAACATTTTTTGAATGAACATTGTGCAAGCATATACTAAATGCCCTTGCACAATTAGCTGAAAAGCACAGAAACAAGCACATAAAATAATCATAGGTGGTGGTAATTGCTAAGGTGTCATGTGTAATTTTTCATATCTCTAATGTATTACTTAAATATTTCATTTTAGGTATCACTGCTATTGCTCCAAAATACTGAGAAAGAAAATAAAATGAAAGATTTAATATTTCTGCTAGAGGAATCCAGAGATAAAGTTAATCAATTAGAGGAAAAGACAAGTAAGAATTTACATAAGAAAATACAATAATGTGTCTTATGTATTACTCTTATTATATTTAAAATTTTGGCTTTCATTGTAGTTTTGTTGTAATGTTTTCCAGTGCTGTAATTCTCAACCTGGTTTGGATCAGTTGGAGAAGGGGTGTAATAGAGTCACTTAGGGAACTTTTTCATTGTACATGTGCTCTTCTTTTCACTTTTCCACACTCCCCTCTTCTTTAGAATTTCAACACAATACTCCAAGAAAACAAGGATCTGGTTTTCTTTTTGTTTATTGATGCATTCCAAGTGCCTAGAACAGTACATGGCACACAGGACACTCAACTATTTCATGAATGACTGAATACACTGGAACACTATAGAGGAAGTGAGTGATCCTGGAGCAAGACATTTGGAAAGGCATTAGGGAAAATTGTTTGTTGAACTAAATCTTTGATGATTAAAGCTTTACTAGACAGTGAATTGGAAGGGAGAATGTAGGCAGAAGAAATGTCTTGTGCAAGCCCTAGAACTGTCAAAGTTTCTATTTGAAACATTGATTGGTATGTCTTGGTTAGAGAACTCAGTAGGTGAGACCGGAAAAGAATGGATCAGATTATAAAGAATCTTGAATGTCAATTAAGACTATCTTACTGAATAGTTTTTAAACTTGTTTAAGGCACTTGGAAGGCATAATACACTTATGAAACACTGTGCACCTTTCAGAGCATCATACGGATTTTGTGATATTTGTCACTTTTCTCTTAAAAACATCCTCTTTTGCATATGACGAATAATTATCTAGTTCCTGTGAAACTATGCCTGCTCATTTGATCTTACAATTATTAATATATCCTATACTCTAGACATCACAAAATGAACTTCCCCTACATTTGCCATTCTTTCTATGTCCCCATGACACTTTCACTACTTCCTCTACGCAAAAGGAGGAGCCTCTTACCTCGAATCCAAATATTTTGCCTGAATTCCAGTGAGCTCCTTATTCTTAAGAATGGCTTAACCATTAGTCATCTGTGACTAAGGGTGTCTTGCAGGCAGGGACTCTGTCCATTAAATATCTATGTAACTCAGTGTCTAGCATATTGCTATGTACCTAGTAGTCAAATAGATATTAGGATGAATGGATATTTAATCTTATCATATAAAACTGGAAATAATTTACTGGCAGTAAGTAACCAATTCTTGTGAGATTCTGCAGACTCATGCACTGAAATGTATTCATTTAAGTTACATTTATGTAACATTTAAGTTGTATTCATTTATTATGTCCTATATGTATCTCTTATTCTTTTTTTCTCTGTTCATTTTGGAGATCTATCGACCTGTTTCATAATCCTGCCTTCTTCTGTGTCTAATTTGCTTTTATTTATTTAGTTTTTTTCTATTATGTTCAGTTAGCCACTGTATAGTACATAATTAGTTTTTGATGTTGTGTTCAGTGATTCATTAGCTAAGTAAAACACCCAGTGCTCATCACAACATGTGCCCTTCTCAGTACCGATCACCCTGTTAACCACCTTCCCCAACCAGTGAAACCCTCAGGTTGTTTTCTGGGGCCCATAGTCTCTTGTAGTTCATCTCCCTCTCTGATTTCTCCCCATTTGGATTTCCCTCCCTTCCTCTTTGGTCCTTTGTGCTACTGCTTATGTTCCATATATGAGTGAAACCATATGATCATTGTCTTTCTCTACTTGACTTACCTCACTTAACATAATCCCCTCCTGTTCCATCCATGTTGATGTAAATGGTGGATGTTCATTGTTTCTGATAGCTGAATAATATTCCATTGTATATATGTACCACATCTTCTTTGTCTAATTTGCTTTTAAACCTACCTACAGAATTCTTTATTTTGGATTAATCATATTTTTTTCCTTCTAAAATAGCCATTTTATTATTATTTTTTTGTTTGTTTTTAATCATTTTTTTTAATTTATTTTCAGCATAACAGTATTCATTGTTTTTGTACCACACCTAGTGCTCCATGCAATCCGTGCCCTCTCTAATACCCACCATCTGGTTCCCCCAACCTCCCACCCCCCACCTCTTCAAACCCTTCAGATTGTTTTTCAGAGTCCATAGTCTCATTGTTCACCTCCCCTTCCAATTTCCCCCAACTCCCTTCTCCTAACTCCCCATGTCCTCCATGCTATTTGTTATGCTCCACAAATAAGTGAATCCATATGATAATTGACTCTCTCTGCTTGACTTATTTCACTCAGCATAATCTCTTCCAGTCCCGTCCATGTTGCTACAAAAGTTGGGTTTTCAAATTCCAATTCTCTGGTTAAATTCTGTCTTGCTGTACATACCGTATGTTTCTATTTTTATTTTTTATCAAAGTATAATTAATATACAGTATTATATTTCAGATGTACAATGCAATGATTCAATAATTCTATACATTACTCAGTGTTCACTGTAAGTGTAGTCCCCAAAGTGTAGTCCCCAAACATTACTACAATATAATTGACTATATTTTCTATGCTATTCTTTTTATCTCCATGATTTACTTATTTATAAATGGAAGTTTGTACTTCTTAATCACCTTTATTTTACCCATCTCCCTTCACCCACCTTCCCTCTAGCAGCCATTGAGTTTGTTATCTGTATTTAACAGTCTGTTTTTTGTTTGTTTTGCTTTTCGGATTCTACATATATATGTGAAATCATATGGTATTTGTCTTTCTGTGTCTCACTCTATTTCATTTAGTATACTACCCTCTAGTTTCATCCATGTTGTCAAACATGGCAAGATCTCATTCTTTTTTATATGGCTGAGTAATATTCCATTATGTATGTATGTGTGTGTGTGTGTGTGTGTGTGTGTGTGTGTGTATATATCCCATATCCTCTTTATCCATTCATCTATTGATGGTCACTTGGGTTAATTCCATATCTTGGCTATTGTAAACAATGCTACAACAAACATAGGGGTACATATATCTTTTTGAATTAGTCTTTTTGTTTTCTTTGAGTATATATCCAGAAGAGGAATTGCTGGATTTTATGGTAATGCTATCTTTAATTTTCGATGGAATATCTATACTGTTTTCCACAGTGGTTGCACCAATTTACATTCTTGGCAACAGTGCATGAGAGTTCCCTTTTCTCCACATCCTTGCCAACCCTTGTTATTTGTTGTCTTTTTGATTCTAGCCATTCTCTGACAGGTGTGAGGTAAAACCTTGTTGTGGTTTTGATTTGCATTTCCCTGATGATTAGTGATGTTGAGCATCTTTTCAAGTGTCTGTTGGTCATCTGTATGTCTTTTTCAGAAAAATGTGTATTCAGGTCTTGTGCTCATTTTTAAAAAAGATTTTATTTATTTGAGAGAATGAGTAGGGGGAGGAGGAGCAGAGGGGGAGGGAGAAGGAGAGGGAAAGAATCTCAAGCAGACTCCACACTGAGCACTGAACCCAACTTGGATCTCAATCTCAGGATCCTGAGATCATGACCTGAGCTGAAACTAATAGTCAGATGCTTCATTGACTGAGCCACCCAGGTGCCTCAGGTCCTCTGCTCATTATTTAATTGGATTTTTTTTCCATGTTGAGCTGTGTAAATTCTTTTATATTTTAGATATTAACCCCTTACTGGACATGTCATTGGCAGATATCGTCTCCCATTCAATAGGTTGCCTTTTTGTTTTATTGATTGTTTCCTTTGCTGTGCAAAACCTTTTTATTTGGGTGTAGTTCCAATAGTTTATTTTTGCTGTTGCTTCCCTTGCCTAAGGAGATATATGCATAAATATGTTGCTGAGATGATGTGGATGGAACTAGAGGGTATTATGCCAAGTGAAATAAGTCAGTCAGAAAAAGACAAGTACTGTATGATTTCATGCATACATGGAATTTAAGAAATAAAACAGATGAACATAGGGGAAGGGAAGGAAAAATAAGATGAAAATTGAGAGGGAAGCAAACCATAAGATGCTGAACTCTAGGAAACAAACTGAGGGTTCCTGGAGGGGAGGGGTGGGATGGGAGAAGGCATGGGCATTAAGGAGATCACTTGATGTATTGAGCACTGGGTTTTATATGCAACTGATGGATCACTAAATTCTACCTTTGAAACTAATTTAAAAACATAATAAAAAAATTTAAAAAAAAAACATTGCTGAGGACAATGTCCAAGAGGTTACTGCCCGTGTTTTTACTTAGGAATTTTATGGTTTCAAGTCTCACGTTTAGGTATTTAACCCATTTGAGTCTATTTCTGCGTATGGTGTAAGAAAGTTGTCTAATTTCATTCTTTTAAATGTTGCTGTTCAGTTTTCCCAGCACCATTTATTGAAGAGACTTTTTCCCATTATTATATTCTTGTCTCCTTTGGTGTATGTTGATTATATGTGTGTGGGTTTATTTCTGGGCTATTATGTCCCATTGATCTATGTGTCTTTTTTTATGCCAGTACCATACTATTTTGATTACTACAGTTTTGTAGTGTATCTTGAGATCTGGGATTGTGATACCTCCAGGTTCGTTGTTCTTTTTCAAGATTGCTTTGGCTCTTCAGGGTCTTTTGTAGTTTCATTCAAATTTTAGAATTGCTTGTTCTGGTTCTGTTAAAAATACTATTGGTATTTTGATAGGGATTACATTGAATATATAGATAGCTTGGGGTAGCATGGATGTTTTAATAATATTAATTATTTTAGTCCAGGAGCATGGAATGTCTTTTGTTTGTATCCTCTTCAGTTTCTTTCATCAATGTCTTATGGTTTTTGGGTACAGGTCTTTCACCTCCTTCTCCTTGGTTATTCTTTGGTATTTTATTCTTTTTGGTGCAATTATAAATAGGTTTGCTTTCTTAATTCTCTTTCTGCTATTAATATTATTAGTGTATGGAAATGCAGCAGATTTCTGTATATTTTTTATCCTGTGTCTTTACTGAATTAATATATCCTTTCTAGTAGTTTTTTGGTGAAGTCTTCAGGATTTTCTGTCTGTGGTATCATGTCATCTGCAAATAGTGAACGTTTCACTTCTTTCCG